TTTTTTTGGTTTTTCTCTGGTACCAGGAACCGAACTCACGACCTTGTGCTTGCCAGGCAGGTGCTTTGCCACTGAGCTAAATCCCCAGCCCCGTCATTATTTTTTTAAACACTAAAGCCACCTTTTACATGGTTTAAAGGTATCAAAGGTAATTCAGTCCAATAATAAACAATAGCTTTGGGATTATATGTATATTCATAATATGTACTGTGTGAATGAAATATGTAATAAATTTTATATATGACATATAAATTAAAATAAAATCCTCTTTGCAGTAGATCCTGTCTTACAGACTCCCAGGCAAGTGAATGCAATTTCCATGGGATTCTAGTCTCTTTTTTTTTTGGTCTTTTTTTTGGGGGGGATTCGAACTCAGGACCTGTGCTTGCCAGGCAGGCACTTATGCCCCTAAACTATTTCCTCAGCCTGAGTTCTAGTCTCTGAGTTTCTTTTTTTCTTTCTTTCTTTTTTTGTGTCTTTTTGAGACAGGCTCTCACTGTGCAGTTCAGGCTGCCTTTAGCTCACTTTGTAGCCCAGGCTGGCCTCGAACTCACAACAATCCTCCTGCCTTAGCCTCCCAAGTCCTGGGATTACAGGCAAGTGCCACTGCACCTGGCAACACATCAACTTCTGAAACCCACACTGCCAACTGTGAGGCCAACATTGAATAAATCAATTTTTGCTACTAAACTACTTAGGTTATACATCATAAACTACACATTTATAAAATACTTTTTTTTTTTTTTTTGAGAGTGGGTCTTGCTGTGCAGTTCAGGCTGGCCTTGAGCTCACTTTGTAGCCCAGGCTGGTCTCAAACTCCCAACAATCCTCCTGCCTCAGCCTCCCAAGTGCTAGGATTACAGGTGTGTGCCACCATGCCTGGCACATTTATGAAATACTAAAGATCTATGAGTTCCTTGAATGCTAGTTTTAATGACAATGGAATAATGTGAGTACAAATTATAGTCAATCTCAACCTGTGACTTAGATTTCAAATGTTAGTATTACCTCATATGTATGTTAACACGAACGCTATAAGGCCGGGTGTGGTGGCACATACCTGTAATCCTAGCACTCGGGAGGCTGAAGCAGGAGGATCGTTGTGAGTTCCAGACCAGCCTGGGGTACAAAGTGAGCTCAAGGCTAGCCTGAGACCCTGTCTCAAAAAAGACAAAAAATAAATAAATAAATAAATAAATAAAATAAACACTATAGAAATACTGAAGCTAAAGGTCAGACAGGGCTGAGCCCCTTTCCACAGTGCTCTCTGATGGAGAGTCTGCGCGGTGCTAGTTGACTGTCAGATCCACGCCCCCGGGGAGCCCAAGCTCACAGTTCCTGGTGTTCTGGTGGGTGCGGTGTTTGTCCCAGATCGGTCCTGTCAGCAAGGTGCTAGCACAGCGTCTGCGCCTCTGCTGTGTCCTGTGTGCTGGTTCTTGTGTGGCTGCCGTGAGCGCCAGCCAGCAGCTCCTCTGAGCCACCACCCATGTGCCCACAGCTAACCCAATCACGCGTGGACTGTGAGGCCCCACAGCACACCAAGCCCAGCCTGGAGCAAAGGCCCAGAGCCCTCCCTCTCCTCCTCTCAGTGGGTCCTCTGTGAGCTCTGAGGCTCCACCTCAGGAGAGACACGCACGGGGAATCTGTGTTGAACACCAGCAGAACATGCTGATGAGCACAGAGAGCTGGGGGTGTGATTCAGGGGTAGAGCGCTTGCCTAGCATGCACAAGGCCTGAGTTCAACCCCCAGTACCACCGAAAGCAAACACAAATAGAGAAGAGAGGACTGAAGCACCTCCCTTCACCCGAGCAGGGTGCGGCCCACTCACCAGTGACCACTGCATTAGAAAACAAGCCCATCTTTTTTTTTTTTTCCTGGTACCGGGAATCGAACTCACAACCTTGCGCTTACCAGGCAGGCACTGTGCTGCTGAGCTAAATCTCCAGCCCCCAACAAGCCCATCTTAACACCAAATTTTAAAAAGAAAAACAATCATTACACCAAATGATGGAAAAGAGAAAGGCCAGAGGGCAAGTCTGTTTATCTCTCCAGAGCTGCCCCCTGGCCTCTGGCCCAGCTGTGTGGCCCACATCCTCCCTGAGGCTCAGCAGACACACACTGGCCTGCACACGGGCCGAACGCTTCCTTCAGGCCCGGCAGAGCATCCTCCTTCTGCATGGCCGCGTGCGCAGGGCCACACTGGCCAAAGTCGCAATGGCCATGGACACACCCTGCGGTGTGGCATCTGTTGCCTGCCACTTGCCTCGTCTGACACCCCTCCGCCCTTTCATTTCTTTTCCTACCATTAACTTTCTACAAGGCTAATGTCTTCTTCTTGTGTCTTTGTGTACATTTTCCATGTCACTTTCTCCCCAGAAGTCCCCCAAATGTGTTATCTTCAAGAAGATGGGTCTGAATGTTTCATTAAATCTACCAACAGAGTTCCCAGCCAGGCCACGGCTTCATCCACTGGTCAACCCAGATGCCTGGAAAGCTGAAGCAGGACGATTGCAATTCACTTTTTTTGTTTGTTTTTTTGTTTCCGGTACCAGGAATCGAACTCACGACCTTGCGCTTGCCAGGCAGGCGCTGTGCTGCTGAGCTAAATCCCCAGCCCTGAAGCAGGAGGATTGCAATGTGGAGGTCAGCCTAGGGTTCTTAGTGAGCCTGCCTCAAAATAAAACTTACAAAATAAAAATGGGCTGGTGAAGTATCTCAGCACTCTTAGTTCCCAGTACTAACAACAAAAAAGATTGTTTAAGTTCCTGCGTTTTACTTCAAGCACACCTGCAAAGCAGCCCCAAGGAAAGCCCCCAGAGACACTTTGAAGCGGCACCGTGGCCCTTGGCAGGCATGGTGTGAGGGCAGTGTGACAGCAGCTATGGCTCCTGGAGTCAGACTTGGACTCATCTTGTTTCATTTTATGTTCGTTTTTTCATCTTTTTGAGACAGGGTCTCGCGATGCAGTTCAGGTTGGCTTTGTGCTCACTCATTCTGTAGCCCAGGCTGGCTTTGAACTCGAAACAATCCTCCTGCCTCGGCCTCCCAAGTGCTGGGATTACAGATGTGTGCCATCACGCCTGGCTCATCTTCTGTTTTAAACATGTCAAGCACTGCACTCCCCACCCTACCTGACCTAGCAAGTGAGTTTACAATTGACCAAAAAATAAAACTTTAAGGTAGGGATATAGCTGCTCAGGTGATCTTGCTGGCAGGTTTTTCCCAGGTGTTTTGATGGCACTGGGATCAAACCCAGGGTCTCACGCGTGCTGGGCAAGGGCCCAGGGCCTCTTCTAAGGACATCGCCACTTCCAGAGCTGTCCCGAAGGCGAGCAGCTGTGGTGAAGCGCTGCTGCTGTTTCAGCGCACCCAGGATGTGCCCTGCCCTCCTGCGTTACTGTCTCTTAGTGGTGAGGTCACGCTCAGCCGCAGCTCTCAAATTTTGGATTTTGTGCTTTCACCTTTATTCAGTTTAAAATATTTTCTTTCCCTAGACTTTTTCGTTTTGGTTTTTTGAGACAGGATTTTGCTATACAGTTCAGGCTGGCTTTGAACTCACTGTGACCCTCCTGCCTCAGCCTCCGGAGTGCTGGGATTGTAAGTGTGCACCACACTTGGCTGTGACTTTTTTGAGCAAGGGATATTTACGTGTGTAACCCAATTTCCAAATGTTTATGGATTTTTCAAATGTTATTAACCTATTTCCTTGGGTCTGAGAATATACTTTGTGTGATTTCAATCACAAATGTATTGAATGGATCCATCTAGTATTATGAAATATGCTTCTTTATTACAAGTGATAGTCTTTGGCCGGGTGTGATAGCCAATACCTGTAATCCAGCACACAAGGCCGAGGCAGGAGGATCACTGCAAGTTCAAGGCCAGCCTGAACTGCATAGGAAAACCCTATCTCTTTTTTTTTTTTTTCCCCCCCGGTACCGGGAATCAAACTCACGACCCTGCGCTTGCCAGGCAGGCACTGTGCCGCTGAGCTAAATCCCCAGCCCCTGGAAAACCCTATCTCAAAAGACAAAAAAATAAAGATAAAAATCAGTGAGTTAAATTTCATTTGATCACATTATTTTTTTTTTTTGGATTTTACCACATTTATTAAAGACAATCATAGTTTATAAAAAAATATTGCCTTGATATACACAAAAATTTCCTGATAATGGTAATTAAAACAACTATTCCTACCCCAGCACGTCCACATCAATATTCAATCTAAATTGGTTTGATCTTGAAGTGTAATCCAATAAGACTGAAGACCAAGCACTTCAGGTCCTGGACAAGATAATAAAATACTCTTAAGCCTTCTGGGTCCTTGGACTGATTGACGTCAATAAGAGAACCAATTTTTGATGTTGTGAAAGAAATGTGTTCATCTCCAATGACAATTTCAAGCTCCTGCCGGCCTACTCGGTCAGGAGGAGGCCACAAAGCATCATCCTCTTTGGTGATTTCACTGTCATCAATTATTCTCTTCAGTTCCTCCATCACACTTTTATGTACATAGGCCTCTTTTCTGATCATAACATCATTTTTGTAATTGCTGTTGTTGGCGTATCTCAATTTCCCATCGGGTCGGAACTCGAACTCCAGGAACTCGTGACCGAACTTGCCTTTGTGACCCACGTAGTAACGCAAATAAAAGTCACTCTCCATAGCTCGCATGGCACAGGCGAGACCGAGCTTTTCAGGACAAAACAGCACCACCCAGACCCGCGCCAAACACTTGATCACATTATTTCTATTGGCCCCAGTGCTGTTCCTTTTAAACTCAACTTCTTTGCAATGAGTCTTCTGAATGACTCCATTTTACCACATTCCACTTATTACTATCAATTTGTTAGAAATTCCTGTCATCGATTTAATATTTATTTATATTTGGAGATATGGTCTTTCTGTGTAGTTCAGCCTGGCTGTGAGTTTACTATGTAGCCCAGGCTAGCCTCTAACTCACAGCAATTCTCCTACCTCTGCTTCTGGAATGCTGGGAGTACAAAAGTGTGCCACCATGCCCGATCTATTGATTTAATATTTATAAAGAAGGAATTTACAAAAAAAATGACCTTAGGGCCAGGCATACAGCTCAGCGGCACAAGCACCTGCCTGGTAAGCGCAAGGTCCTGAGTTTAATTCCCAGTACCAAAAAAAAAAAAAATCACTTTAGAACATAGTGATTTAGTAAATTACTGCTCAACAAGCCAAGCTTTAAACTTTAACTTAACAAGACTGAAAAGAGCATAGGAAAATTCAGCATGACCCGTGTGTGTAGGCCATGAGCAGTACGGGTTCCAGAGCAGACCTAGTCCCTCTGCGTGGCAGTAGGGCCATCCCTGCCTGCCTCAGTGCTGGTGTTGCCGGTCAGCTCTGCGCTTCTTTTTGCTTTTTGTTTTTTTTCCGGTACCAGGAATTGAACTCACGACCTTGCACTTGCCAGGCAGGCGCTGTGCCGCTGAGCTAAATCCCCAGCCCCGAGCTCTGCCTTTCTGTTGCTGCTCATGCAGACGTGCTGTGCTGGCGCCTGCCCACGCCCTCCATGATTGGACACGGCCCGGGAGCTGCTTTTTGTTTAAAAAACCACAAAACAGACTAGCATGTGTTTTCTTTATTAAATCTTAACCAGCATTCTTTAAGGGACACACACACACACACACACACACACACACACACACACACACAGACAGGCAAGCAGGCTACCGTGGAGAAATCTTATCTTCACAAGTGAACAAGTCACTGGAGGACTCTCAGGTACATCCTCAGTGCTGCTTCTTATCTTTATCCAGGGACTCCAGGTAATACTCGGCCCCCAGGGCCACCACAAAGGCGGCAAATCCCCACTTGAACCCTTTTAGGAGAGCACCGACAAAGGAAACATTGTTTGCAAAGCCACCCATGTATCTCCAAGCTTCATTGCTAGAAGGGAAAAAGAAAAAGGGAAAACATAATCTCACATAACTAGAGTACATGCTAGGATACATGTAATTTTAACTTTTATCTTTTTTTTTTTTGGTACCAGGAATCGAACTCACGGCCTCATACTTGCCAAGCAGGCGCTGTGTCACTGTGCTACATCCCTGCCCAACTTTCATCTTTCTAACAGACTTAAAAGTAACATCACAGGTCACCCAGACAGCACAAAAGCATCTGTGGGACAGGATAACTGAGAGTATAGGACCAAGTTTCACATAGAGAACATTTTTTCTGTCCCAGCGATCAGATGCACAGCTCTACTCTGCCACAGGAGCCACAGCCGGGCTCTGCCCACACCGCTCACCGCAGGAGCAGCAGCTCTGGGCACTCATCCGTGTTCAACTTGCGGAAGGAGGAAACACACTAACATGATCTTCTTGGCACAGGACAGCGTAACACTGTTACCACTTTACTGTGCGAGAGCATCACAACCCTCCTTCAGAAGACTGATTTCCGGAGTTGGTGATAATTCTAAGTGCCCTCAACAAAGAGGCAAACAGAAGTCAGGAAGCGGAAGGGAAAAGTCTCCTCCCACAGATAGTGGTAAGTCAGTAAAAGAAGATCACAAAGAACAAAAGCCATTTTACCCCAAAAATCTGGCTTATCAAAAAGTATCAAATCTTATGCAGACACCAAGACCAAAGCTGTTAAAGAAAACTACAGAGTAATATCCCCCTCATGAACACAGATGCAAATATTCTTTAAAAATATTTAAAAATTTCATCAGGCAATAATTGAACTAGGCTCAGCACCCAGTACTGCAAAACAAAAACAAAAACGCAAAACACGCAGGTACAGTGAACTACCTACATTGCTCAGTCTCTTACCGGCCCCAGGGATCCCGCAGTCCTTGTGCAGCGAGCTTCCTCTGGACAGTCTCCAATGGAGTCCCCTCTATTCTCCACTGTTTATAGTCTGGAAGTTCCAACTTATTATGACCATGTTCATGTCCGTGCCCATGCCCTGGGGCCATGTCTACAGGAAAGAATAACACAAGGGAGGAATGCATCAACTGTGGACACCCAAAAGCCAAATTTATTGTGTATGTCTTTTTTTGGTTTTGTTTTGGTTTGGTTTTTTTTTCTGGTACTGGAAATCAAACTCACGACCTTGCGCTTGCCAGGCAGGCGCTGTGCCACTGAGCTAAATCCCCAGCACCTGTGTAGTCTTTTTTAAAGAAAACTGTTTATGTCCTAAGTGAAACACTTAATGTTTTTTAAAGACATAATTAAAAACTCTGAATTAAAATATTTTATAAAAGTATCTTATTACAGGCCTATGCGGGTGGCACATACCAGTAGTCCCAGCACTTGGAAGGCTGAGGCAGGAGGATCACTGTGAGTTCGAGGCCAGCCTGAACTGCATAGTGAGATTCTGTCTCAAAAAAAATTTTATTAAATAATATGTTCCATTAGAAAATACACATATGTAATAAAAACAATAATCAGTAATCCTGCCGCTCAGCTACCTCCTGTTTGGCACCTTTCCTCATTACAATGACAGCAGCACTCAGTAAGAGCCCTATGCGTTAGGGGCACTGCTTTGCATGCCACCCTCCCTCCCTCCCTTCCGGAACAGCTCTCTGAGCTTACGTGTACAACAGCCCCACTGTGAACACCCCACAATGAAGGTAATCATCATGGACTGCAAATATGGACTAATTTTAAAAATCCCCACTTTACAGATGAACACAATGACACTCTTAAGAAGTAACTTCCCAGGGGCCAGGGATATAGGTCAGGGCTACAGTGCCTGCCTGGCAAGCGCAAGGTCCCAAGTTTCATTCCTGGCACACACACACACGCACACACACACACACACACACACACACACACACACACACACACACACAAAAGTAACCTCCTTGAAGGTAACAAAAATAGGAAATAATACCCCTGTTCCTAATTTCTAAACAATCTTGTTTTTCTGTTTAGTTCTAATACATAAGCATACATACAGAAATGTACATACTGTTTTGTTACCTGCTTTCTTCTTTATTTTTTGGTTTTTTTTTTTGTCTTTTTGATACAGGATCTTGCTATGCACTTCAGGCTGGCCTTGAGCTCTCTTTGTAGCCCAGGATGGTTTTGAACTCGCAAGGATCCTCCTGCCTCAGCCTCCCGAGTGCTGGGATTACAGGTGTGTACCACCACGCCTGGCAAATGGTTTTTTAAATGCTGTATTAATGCTTTTCAATAAGATAAATCTCATGAGCTCTTTTTTTTTGTTTTATTTTGGTTTTTTGAGAAACACTATGTAGTAGCCCAGCCTGGCCTCCAACTTGTAGCAATCCTGCTTCAGCCTCCTAAGTGCTACGATTATAGGTATGCACCACCATGCCAAGCTAATATGAGCAAGGGGTAAAAACCAAGTAAATTTGCAAATATTTTATTGATAAAATAAAAAAATAATAAATAATAACTGAGTACAATTTTTTTTTTGAGACAGGGTCTCATGTAGTTCAGGCTGGCTTTAAATTCACTATGTAGCCCAGGCTGCCCCTGAACTCATAAACTCCCCTGCCTCAGCCTCCCTACCCTTGAACTCATCAATCCTCCTGCCTTAGCCTCCTGAGTACTGGGATTACAGGTGTGCACCACCACGTCTGGCTGCAATTTTTTGCAATACAGATCTAATGTTGAAAAAAAAATTCCCTTGTTTGGGGATAGTATTTGGTTTACCTCAGGCTCAAAGTCCGCATTCCTTATTATCAACATGACTGAAAATTTTCACCCATTTTCTTTCTTTCTTTCTTTTTTTTTTGCCTTTTTTGAGACAGGGTCTTACTATGTAGTTCAGGCTGGCCTTGCACTCACTTTGTAGCCCAGGCTGGTCTCAGACTCGCAATGATCCTCCTGCCTCAACCTCCCAAGTGCTAGGGTTACAGGCATGCATCACCACACCTGGCCACCCGTTTTTCATGAGTAGTGTTTGCAATACATAATAATTACATTCATCTTGGAAAATTGGTACATATACATATACATATCACATCTTGATCATTTTTACAACCCTGGAATTCTCCTATTTTGCATCACTGTAAAATCCCAGGCAAATCACTTAATTCTCTAATCAGTTTCTTCATATAATGAGGATAAAATCTATCTTGTGAGATTGTGAGAACTGGGGAAATGGTCCATCTTCACACCCAGGTGGTGAGAATGCTACTGAGCACAATCATTCTCAAAAACTAACATGACCAGGGCTGGGGATTTAGCTCAGCAGCACAGCGCCTGCCCGGTAAGCGCAAGGTTGTAAGTTCGATTCCTGGTACCAGAAAACAAACAAACAAACAAAAAACTAACATGACCTAGAAAAACTGGAGCTCTGCAAGCCTTGTGGCCAGCAATCCCACTCTATCTGCATGGTCCCAGCCAGAAGCCACTCACATGAGGCAAGTGCAAGTGGGGAACCGGGAATTATTTACTTTTTTTTTTTTTTTTTTTTTTGGTACAGGGAATTGAACTCAGGACCTTGCACTTGCCAGGCAGGCACTTATGTTGCTGAGCTATATCCCTGCCCTTTAATCTTAATTCATCTAAAACTCAAAACCATTCTCAAATCAGTTATTAGGAAATAATAAAGTGTGTCTGGAACCATTTTGGTGTAGGTATCTACTTTCTCAACTAGAAATATTATGAAATATCAAAGTAGATCGAGTGTACTTATGAAGAGCATGCAGATATTCTGTAAAGTATGTCAATTTTGAAAACAGTATAAAATGAAAATATTTCATGAATAACAATATGGAATATATCTTGCTATATTTTTAATATATTGGGTCAGATGAAATATACTATTAAAAAGTTAGTTTTATATATTTCTTTTATTTTACTTTTTAAATAAGCTTAATAGGACATTTAATATTACATGTGTGGTTTGTATTTCCACCAGAAAGCACTACTTTGTTTTCTGTGACAGGGTCTCACTGTATAGTTCAAGCTGGTCTTAAACTCACTATATATCCCAGGCTGGCCTAGAATTGGCATCGATCCTCCTGCATCAGTCTCCAGAGGGATTGCAGGCACCACATCTGTTTCTGGCCAGCCCTACTTCAGACACACTCTTGCATGTATATAGCAAGGAATATGCTTCAGAAAATTCTGGGATTTTTGTTGTTTCTGAGCTTGGGTTTTAAGCCAGGGCCTTACACAGGTTAAACACACTGAGTCACACACCCTGCCCATTTTTAAATAATGTCTTTGCAGCCAAATTGTTTATGCTAGCTCTAAACTGTAAGTAATGCAACCCAACAACAGAAAATACTACAGTACAGCCACTATGGAATATTGTACTGCAAAAAATTACATATAAAAGTATAAACAAATCTCACAAATTTAATGAGCAAGGGAAGAGTTAGGAAAAATGCATGCATGTTGATCCCATTTATGTAAATTAAAATACTTAACAAGTCACTTTCCAGAAATTCATCACAGGTGGAAAAATGAAAGTAAAACAAGTGAATACCTGTCACAAGTCAGGATAGTGTCCACCTCTGGAGGGAGAGGAGGAGTCACAGAAATAAGGGGGCTTCCAAGGCAGTGTTTTCAGCCAATTTTTAACTGTCTAAGGGGCCATTTTAGACAGATTTGTTTCCTAATTGTGTGCCCCCTTCCCAATGAAATTCTAACACCAGTCATACTGTGTGTCTGTTTACGTACTGTAGTCCTTTGGAAGGATACAAGTCATTGTCATTCCCTCCCACCCTTCATCAGTGTTCACCCCTTTGAGGGGCAGCCCCTTCTATTGAGAATGTGCATCCTAAATTACTAGCAGTGTTTTACTTCCTAACCTGAGAAGTGATTACGTGAATGTTTAATTATGCTTCTCCAAAAGGTATTTTGTCTTATACACTACTGTTGTGTACACTTGACAATAAAACATAAAATTACAAAGTGACTTATACTGTGCTGAAGATTCAACACAACTGGAGCATCTCAGATAAGAACAGCAAGAAAAGCAGTTCCACAAAGAATACATAGTAATAAAAAATGTAAAAGCTATCGGCCTGTCTGAAGTGAACCTGCGAGTTTGGAGGAAATGAGCCTCCACTAACCGGGCCGGGTTCTGGCACCGGAAAAGTGCTGCTACTCTCTCCCCAAGGAAGACATAATGCCATCTCCACTGTACGTAATTCCAGTTTTCCGAAGACTTTTACTTCCCAAATTTCCCTCATGTTAAAACACGGCAACTACTGCAGAACATGAGAGCGAGGTGCGGTGGCATACCCCGTCACCTCAGCTACTCGGAAGGCTGCGGAGGACGCCAAGGTCAAGGTCAGCCTGGGCAATTTAGCGAAACCGGCTCAAGAACAAACAAAAAGGGGAGCCCCGTGGCAGAGCGCTGAAGAATAAATTAAAGGACAAGTGGAGTGCTGGCCCTTTTAGGTCCACCCCGCGTCCCAGGTACGTGCGATGGGTGCGATTTTGCCCTTTTCATTTTAACTTTGCAACATAACTATACACATCAGGAAAAAACCTTACTTACAACACACATTACATACACTTACTTCTGCTTTAGCTGTTGAGGGCTGGTCTGCCTGTATTCGATTTCAATGTGACCCCAAAGAGCACCCCGCGAAGAGGCTACGGAGGCCGAGGCGGGGAAGCACCGTCCTCGCCTCACCGCTCCCCACCCAGGTCCTGACCAGACCTCAGAGCTCCCTCCGCCCGCCAGCTCCTCCACCCGCCCCTCGCTCATCCTTCTCCATCTAGTCTCTCGTGTGTAGCATTCCCAACAAGACTCCAGCTCTCCTGCCTAATTCAGAGGTCCCCACAACGCCCGGATTTACCTGAGAGCACGCTGACCTCTCAGGACACTCGGTATTCAAACTCCCAGCTGGAGCCAACCGGAAGCGGAAGTTGTCACCTCGAGTTTCTCACGGTAGAAAAGCGGTGGTGAGTTTTGGCGTTCCTGTTCTGGCTCCGAGATTCTGGCGCAGGTGGAGATAACTCGAGGGAGACTGGGAGTCCATATTTTGCCCACATATTGGCATCCGAAGTATGACTGAGATAAGCGTCGTTGCGGAGAACAGAAGCACCGGGTAGAGACATTTTCCCGGTTGGAGGCGGAGTCATTAGACCGTGCACCCAGAGGCGGGCTGAAGGCAGCTGCAGCCAATGAGCGCGGCTGTTGTTGAGCGCGGGGCTCAGCCAACGAGAGGCCCGGATGTTGCGCTGCGGTTGGTAGGCTGTTGCGGGAGGCGCTGGCGGCAGGAAGCCGGAGGCGGCGGGGGCGGGTAGGCGAGCGTACAGGCTTTGGGGACGCGAGGCGCTGACGAGGGGGCTTTCCTCTCTGGCCGCGGGGCGTGTCGAGGGCAGCTGACGAGGGTGGGCTGGGGAGGCTGCGGCCGGACCGCCGGCGGTCGCGGACCCGCGCAGCCAGGTAGCAGCCGGAGGTCGC